AGGATTACCAATACTATTTTGGGGGGGTTTCTTGTTATAAGTATTAGTATAATGGGCCCCAAAACCGCGAAACCCTTAACCCTTCCACCTGTTGGATGTTGGGGCTAGCCTTTATGGCATGAGCGTGTGTTGCCTTGTTTGATGAGGGGGCGAGGTGGTTTCGGTCTCAGGGTCAGGGCTTCGGTTCGGGGCTGGGGTTTAGGGGCTTTGGGTTTAGGGTTTAGGGGTTTAGGGGTTTAGGGGTTTAGGGGTTTAGGGGTTCAGGGGTTTAGGGGTTGAGGGGTTTCGGGTTTAGGGGCTTTGGGCTCTTGAGGATCGGTATGCGGGTTTGTCTTCCAGCACTTCAACAGCACCGAGAGGTAGGTGTCATTACTAGGTAGGTTCATCCTTGGAAGTCTTCAAGCGTGCTTGCAGGGTTTCCAAGAGTTCCCGCGTAGGGTTCATTTTTGGGCAGTCGGCTTAACAGGGTGTCGAAGCTCTTGTGGGCCTTACTACTTGGAGGATCATGGGACTTAGTAAGTAAGGTTATAAGTCCCTTGATTGGGGCTATAAGTATAGTTAAACTGATTATAACCCTACTTACTAAGTCCCATGATCCTTGACGTATGGTCCGGCTCTGCTTTGTGTCTAGGCTTTGGGGTTTGGTTTTCCCTTGTCTGGAGTGTCTAGAACATATTCAGGTGGGTAGTTACCGTTTTAGGAGCCCTATAGAAGGTCTATATACCATATAGAAGCCTTATAGAAGCCCTGTATACCCTAAACTTGAGGGCGAAACCCCGAAGCTGAAACCGCTTAATCCTGAGCCCTACAACCAGTGTATGACTGTATAACCTTCCAAGAACCTCTAAACCCTGAACCCTAAACCCTAAACCTCTAAACCCTAAGCCCTAAACCCTGAACCTCTATGGCCTTGATGCGGTTTCATGGTTCAAGGATCAGAGGGCCAGGCTGCCAGCAGCCTACTAATCTAGGTTTTTTTGGAATGGCGGTCTTGCTCGTTGACGAAAGAAGGTGTGATAGTGTAATTTGGCTATTTGGGTGCCCTTCAGTCCTAAAGTCAGAAAGTGTGGGGTTTAGGGTTTAGGGTTTAGGGTTTAGGGTTTAGGGTTTAGGGTTTAGGGTTTAGTGTGATAGTGGAACCTGATTAAGAAACCTTTGGTCTTTCTTGGGGCTCCTTACATGGATCCCGAGATTTTGGGGTTGGAGGACCAGGGCTTCTTAATCAGGTTCCTACATGTAGGGGCCTTAATAATTAGAATAGGGTTTTGGGGGCCCATTATACTATAATTATAGTATAGGAACCCCCCCCCAAAATAGTATTAGTAATTATTTAGGTTCCTACATTTTCCAGGCACTATATTTATAGTATAGGAACCCCCAAAAATAGTATTAGCAATTACTTAGGTTCCTACATTTTCCAGGCACGAGCTTGCAAGGCAGTGAGTTTTTGACACGAAGCCCTTTCTTCGCCTCGGGGCTCGTAGCTGCTAGCCTTGCTGAAGTCTGCTCTGGGGAGCTTCCTTATAAGAATCGGGGGCCTTCGGGCTACATGGGGAGCTTCCTTATAAGAATAGGGGGCCTTCGGGCTACATGGGGAGCTTCCTTATGAGAATAGGGGGCCTTCGGGCTACATGGGGAGCTTCCTTATAAGAATCGGGGGCCTTCGGGGTATATGAAAGTATATAGTAAGGTCATAGAAATGGTAAGTATTCAGACTTCTATATTATGAACTACCGCGAGGCCCTAGCGCATCACCTCACGGACCAGCATCATTGTCCTTCCGTCGAAATTCTGAGTTCTTGGGCCTGAAGATTTAGTATCACCGTTCCCTAGGGTTCCTCATTACTGTAAGTATGCAATAGAACCCCACCTAATTATTTGAGGCACTGTGTGTTACCCAAATCCTCTAATCTGAAGTCAGACAGTTTCGACTCCATCCGCTAAGCCCTGAGCCAACGAAAGCCGTACCGCCCTAAACCCTTTTAAACCATAAGCCGCACAAAAAACAGACAAGACTGTTCGCAACTCTCAAAAGCTGCCTACATAAAACTCTACACCCCGCACTGTCCGCACCGTTTGAACGACACCCTAAACCGTCCAGGCATCTTTCCAAGGGAGGGACCCGATGGCAGAGACCGCCACTTGATCTTTATCGAGCGAAAGTAATATAGAGGCCTTTAAAATCAGATCAGGGCTTTAGTGGTACAGATTATTATAGCATTAGTAATAATATTCATATTAAGGCCAACAATGATGACGACCGAGTTTCGCGGGGGGTGTTAGTGTGGAACCAATGCGCCAGCAGGGTTCAGCTTTGTGGCTTCGGGTTTCAGTCTTCTTTTTCGGGGTTTGGGGGAGGGGTGTTTAGGGTTTCGGTTGTGGGACGGGATTTAGGCTGGTTATGGTCGGTTAGTCGGTTGGTCGGTGGGTGGGTTGGTTGGTTGCTTGGTTGGTTGAGGGTTTTGGGTTTAGGGTTTCAGGGCCTTCAGTTGTACCCTAAACCCTAAACCCTTTGTGCTTTCGGGCTTGAGGTGGTTGACTCTTCTACTGATTTCGCTCTGGTCAGTTTCTCAAGGCTCCTCGTAGGCATACTCTGGGATCCATGGGCTTCCTTACCATAACGATAGTGCGATAGGACCCAAAACCCTGTCCTGATTACTAAGAATAGTAAAGAGCGTCGATTCCGGGTCAGGCGGAAGTCCCAAAGCTACCGTAATCTAACCCTTTATTCCTTCGCAACTTGGCATTCCCGAGTGGAGGCCGGATTGAACTACCCTCAACCCCTAAACCCATACATCCGAGTGTTGAGAAGCTGGGATGTGGCTTGCAGGTGATGTCCATGTCGCTGTCGCCGGCACAGACACAGGACAGGGGAGAGCGAAAGAGTGGGGGTTGAGAGTTGAGGACTTTGGATAGGATTCTGGGTTTCGGGAGTTTCGGGCTTGAGGGTTCAGAAGGTTTCCGCACGATGGGCTCATCGTTGAGATCGCATGGCTCTGTTTGGTAGGTTTCGATCCGGAAGGAATTTGGGCTCTGTGAGACTTGTTGTAGGCTTCGGTGTTGAGTAGAAGGGTGTAGGTACTGTTCAGGAAGTCCGGAACATACTGCTCCCGCTTCTCGACAGAATGCCTGCCATGATAGCTCGAGGTCTGGGACCTCGCGGAGGATGTTGGAGCCTGGGAAAGCAAAGTAGAGGCCGTTATGGAAGACTACGGCGGCGGCATCTTCAGGCACGTATGGCTCCCTGCCTGATGAGGCGGCGGAATCTGTTTCGGAAGCGCTTCCAGTCCATGAGCCTAGGACTCAAACCCAACCGATTCTAAGAGCCTACAACTAGAGCTAACTCCTAGACCCTAAGGCCCTGTATAAGCCCCAAAGCCCAGATGTAAACCCTGAAGCCCCCTCCCCAAGCAAAAGCCTAAAACCCGCGGCCATACCGTCGACCAAAACCGCAGGACTTAGCCTCTCAAGGTGCGCTCTCTCCGCACCTGCCCGGCGAGGCCGCAGCGCAACGGAGACCCCAAGAGACCCCCCAGAGACTCCAATATCCCTTAATTAAGGAATGTATCTTAAATTATAGTAGGGCGAGGGAGGCGAACTGGGTCCGATGTGCTAGGAGCTGTAAAGCTCATCGTTAAGCTTAGCTTCCGGTATCAGCTTTGCTGTTTTTTCTGTCAAAAAAATAAATTATAGTAGGATCCCTAACATGATTTAAGATATATTCCTTAATTAAGGGATATTGGAGTCTCTGGGCCTCTAAGTGTCCAAGAGCTCAAATCCAAAGTGGACTGGCCATTGGGGCCTATATAATGTAGGGGCCTTGATAATTAGAATAGGGTTTTGGGGGTATATTATACTACATAAGTATAACAAGGAACCACCAAAATAGTATGAGTAATTATTGAGGCCCTTATATTGCTCTTTGAGTAGGTATTTGGATCCTGACTATACTTAAAACACGGACCATCATCGTGCTCTGCTCGTCGCATCCGCACTTTGAATGAGAAGACTGCTTTAAAGTATAGTATGGGAGTTTCCGAAAATTAGGGGTACCTTATTTTGGGAGTCCCTATAATAAGGATCCTACTATTTAGGGTACTATACTAGGGTCCCCTATTTTCTGAAACTCCCGTATGTTACCCTCAGCGCTCAAGGACCGAGTGGTTGGGCACGGGACGCCTAGGGCTCTACTGTAATGTTTCTGTTGGTGATGGGCCATTCTATGATGTACCTATTCCATTGACTTGTCACAGGTGGTAGTTTCTTTGCATGATTTAGTGTAGCGCGACATTCGCCCCTAAACGAAGCAGGCCTTGTTCCCAACCCTAAACCCTAAACCCTAAACCCGAGCCCTTTTGAATCCTATATCCCCTTCAAGGCCCATCGACCCGAAAGCAAGGAAGCCTGTCAGGCTTTTCAAGCTCGTAGACCCTAAACCAAGCAATATATGGGGGGCCTCAACAATTACCTATACTACCTATTCGAATTATCAAGGCCTCGATATTAACCTTTCGATTCCTTGGAGTTTTGTCCGGTTGTCGGTCTAGTGGGGCTCGAAGGTTATCCGATCCGGCTGTCAGGGCTTCCGAAGGTCGCAAGGTTCAGGGTGAGGGTTTTAGGTAGGGTTAGGGTTTAGGGTATAGGACTTAGAGTCAGAGCCTCGGGGTTGAAAAGTTGCGTAGAAGATTGGGCCTCAAGTCTTTCACGGTTCTACTTAAAGGTTAGGAAGTAGAGTTATAGTAACTATACTTATAACCCCAATTCAGGGACTTATAATCTTACTTACTAAGTCCCATGATCCTTTAAGTAAAGAGTCCAGAAGCGACTTTCGCCTCTTTGCCCCCCTGCCCTGCCTTTCAGGTGGCCTCGGCAGCTCCCTTCCAGATGTCGCTGCGATGCACAAGCACTGGGGTCGGGGTTCTGGGTTTGTTGGCATGAAAGGTTTGGGCTAAACCCTAAACCCTAAACTCCGAAGTCTCATGAAGAGAATGGGGTTCATCGTTTGTTGGCATGAAAGGTTTGGGGCTGTACTTAAAGGATCATGGGACTTAGTAAGTAGGGTTATCATCAGGGTAACTATACTTATAACCCCAATTAAGGGACTTATTAACCTTACTTACTAAGTTCCATGATCCTCCAAGTACAACTTGAGGTTTGGGGAGGTTTGTTGCTTGCAGCTTCGCTGTGATATTGCGCTGCAGCATGTGGTGAAAGTCATGCAGCAGAGATGCAGCGTGTGCTCTGTGCTATGGAGCGGAGCACTAGCCCATAGTTTGTGTCTATTGGGTCAACGAGCACTTCGAGCAAACACTGAACTGACCATATATAGGTCTGAACAGTCAGCAGCAGTGCCACAAGATTTTTAGCACAACATACCCAGCCAAATTCAGTCCCGATTGTTCAGGCGCTTGTATTTCCATACTCACGCAATGGCATAACGTAACATCTCAAATTTCAAAGGCAGACCCTACACCTCCAAACCTCAAGCCCTAAACCCCAAACCTCAAAGCCCGAACCGCTAAACCCTAAACACTAAACCCCTGCACCCCAACCCCTCAACGAAGCCGAGGTCAATGTCCATGCACAGTTCAGAGTTTGACTCCTTCCAGGAACAGACCACCCGTGGAGTGTGGTGCCATGGCTGGTTCTTATTTGTTCTGGGCTGAGAGGTTTGAATAATCAGGCATAGTAGCCCGGTATAAGTTATTTTTTATTTCGGGCTTCCAGTCTGTTGGAGGGTTCTATAAACTGGAAGGGCTTGCATAGGATTTAGGGTGTTGAGCGCTTCAAGGAGCAATGAGCAACATACTAGAAATTGAAACAAGGCTGCAATACCTGGATGAATTTGACAATCGTCGCACAGTGGGGCACGAAAGCACACCTTTGGGTCATGGCCATGGAAAGGTGAGCCCAGCAGCTTGCATTGGAAATCCCAGATTCTAGACCCTCCATGGGGCTGTACACAGATCCTCCTGTCGCTGCTCGCGAGGACAACTAAGGGTTCATGGTCGAGGTGTGGGATAAGGGCGTAGTATTCCATGTGGGCAGTTCTCTAAATTCGGGTCCCTTTTTAGGTCCCCAATATACGGCACCCTTATAAAAAGGACTCTAAAGGGACCCTACTTTAGAGAACTACCCATGTAGTTCGCACTCCACCTAGGCGAACCCTCAATCGGCAGTGGTCCGGCAGCCCTAAACCACCTAAAGCCCCTAAACCCCTAAACCTTCTAGCTACCTTCGACCCGAAGACAGCGTCCCTTTTCGGGCCCTACATACACCCCGAAAGCCCTAAACCCGCAAACCCCAGAACCCTATAAACGCTTAACCCTCAACCCGTAAAAACTTGTACTATAAAAGCCCTAAACCCTAAACCCTGTTATACTATAAAAGTCCTAAAGCCCCAACTCCTACACCCACCCCCGCGCCCCCCGAGAGACCGCGTGAGGTATCCCGGCTACTCCATGGCTGGGCCTCCGCGCGGGGGGCAGCTCCTCATTGTTTGCTTCGGTGGCCAGGCTGTTGAATCTCTGGGTTTAGAGTCTAGAGTTTAGGGTTTAGGGTTTAGAGTTTAGGGTTTAGAGTTTAGGGTTTTTGGAGTTTCGGGCTTTTGTTGATTAGGGGTTTAGGTTTAGGATTGTGGGATTAAGGGTTTAGGGTTTTAGGGCTTGGGATTTTCGGGTTTGGGGTTGTGTTTAGGGTTTAGGGTTGTGTTGAGGGCTTTAGGGCTGTCGGGTTTGGGATTTCAGTGTTTCGTAGCCTTTGGGCAGTTCCCTTGAGAGTTTGTTCTGGGATGGTGATGAGCCCCCAGCCTTTTATCTGCTCACATCTTAAGTCATCGCACCGAGACGAGACCCCTAAACCCAAAACTCTAAACCCTAAGCCCTAAACCCTAAACCCTAAACCAAAACCCTCAACCCAAAACCCTAAACCCTAAACCCTAAACCCTCAACCCTAGACGGGCTCAAGCACGCCCAGGCTCGTGGCGC